TTCGCCTCCGTCATAGAGGAAAAAGAAGATTGCGGCTCCTTTCCTCCATAGTCGCCCCTGAAGAAGAAGCCGAATCGGCTTCGAAACGTTGGGCCCCTGATTTAGGGATTGGTTGGTCGTCGTATTTTAATAATCGTTCATTAATGCAACGTTGTTTTAGAGCACAGCTCATAGGCACCCCTTCTTAATTAAGCGGCGTCGGCGTAACCGCGCGTTGCATTAAGGGCTGTTTCTTAAAATGACGTCACACGTGACGTCACGTGTGTCGTCACGTGTGACCTCACGAGGGTAAACTTTTCCCGCTACATTTTGCGGTAAACGTTTTTGCTCAGTTTGTCGGAAAATTTTTCCGCTAAATTTAGAGGAAATATTTTACCCGTTTGACGTCACATTTAAAATTTCAGATGACGTGTCATGTGACGTCACACGTCAATTCAGCAGGAAAATTTCCCGGCTAAATTTAGCGGGAAATTTAGCGAATTTTTTACGCTAAGTGGGATGGGAATAGGAGAGGAGGATGTGAGGGTACGGAGGGGGACCAGCTGGCATACCCTCCCCTTCGTACCCTTCCTCCCTCCTCTCAAGAGCTGCGCTCCAATTCGGTTTTACAAAGAATTGTGAACGTCAAATTTTTTTAACGTGTCTTTATTAAGGGGTATCGGTGGCCAAGTGGGCTAGCGCCCACTAAAGTCACTGGATCCTGGGAAAGTAACGCCAAGCTCCGCGTGTGGTCGCCATCTTGGTCCATGAAATGAGCAATTTCTCCTTGACCCCTCCGTTCTTGGTGAGCCTATCTAGATTCGCTGGTGACGGGTAGCTTTATTGAGTCGTTTTTTGTATACCGAGATTTTGCTAACCACACACCGGCGAAACAGGCGTACGCGTTCGTACCACCACAAGATGGCGTGTCGGTGCTTGGAGGCACTGAAAAATAAGTTTACTGTCTTGAAATGCGCAAGAAGAACAATATAATTGTAAGAGATCCATGGAGATGGGCCTGATTAATAAGTTGATTGCATACGAAGTGCCAAAGACTCTTATATTGAAGAGGAACGCTTCCAGTACGATGATGCTCCATGGTGATCTTGGCGCGACTGGTTTAGAACGACCCCCTGGAAGCTTCGAAGATTTAAATGGACCAAGATGGCGATTTCCATGGCAACGTAGGCCGATTAGCCAATCGCCTTGCGAGGTTTGGGTCGTCTGTATGTTAGTATCCGTTTGTGTCCGGCTAGCAGGTAGGGAAGGCAATGGCGCTACTTTCCCAGGATCCAGTGACTTTAGCGCCCACCAGATCGGAGTACGTGGAGAGAAAGCTCGCGCTGGAGAACCCAGTGATCCTGAGCTCGATTCCCAGCCCTGCCCGAAGAACACACTTCCAGTGAAGTGAGTTCGGGGAGCACACTACGCTCGCTCCTGTAGACCGAGTGTGTAATCTCGATAGCAGTGTTCATTGAGTAAAAATAATAGAATAAATTAACGCTGCGTAAAATTGGTATTATTTTGATTGGAGTAATATTAGATGCGCACTTGTTTTCTGTTGGCAGGAAAGTAGCGCATTGTAGAAAAACGAGCGGCTAATCTAGTTTCCAGCCTTGGCCCCTGCGCGACGGCCAGCGACGGCCAGGAGGCCTGCGAGACTCCACCAGGAATCTGAAGGTGGCAGGAGAGACGCGAAAGGCTTGCTTGAAATGGAACTCGCCCAAATGGGGCAAGGTGTCTTCGAACCACCGTTCGTTCCTCTGGAAAGTCTACCGTTCTCGACTGATCACGGGTAGATTGTCGGTCATGAGAGCGGCTATGGTTAAAGCATTGGCCTGCAGCTGCTGATCGATGTCACTTGACATTCTTGCCTGTGCGTCGGCATCCAGGTCCAGCTGCCTCTCATCTGAAAGACGTTGGGATCTCCCGGAAAAAAGTGAACCCACCACGCGCTTCCACTGTCCAACATCGCAGATATCGCCCTCAGCTCGTCCTCCATACACTCCATGATGTTTCGTTGTGGCGAGTGGCCGCCGTGCGAGCCGCCAAGTGGGCTCGCGCACACCAGCTCGGAGCACGCGGAGCGAAAGCTCGCGCTGCAGAACCCAGGAATTCTGGGTTCAATACCTACTTCTGCTCGTTTTGATCTATACTCCGTTTCACCTTATGTTGTACCGCAGACAAGGCTAGAAGCGCGAGCTCATAGCGTTGGGAGCTACTCTTAACGCACGAGAGCTTGTGCCGCCGAGATGTGCCCTGAACAAGGAGCTCGCGCTTGTAGCCTTTCCTGCAGTACATTATAAGGTGAAACAGAGTATAGATGAGCATTGTACCGGCGTGCGGACGTGTATCACTAGCTTGTACTGGCTGATCGTAATGATCAAGTTGGATTTAAATTTGGATTAAAGCTCGTGACTTAGCGCAACAATGTGTGGTGACGTGTTTCTAATAAGACGACGAAGTTATTTATGAGAAAATGCGTATGCACTGTAATATTTTGCGTGCCCATTACTTACCCATCGTCATTGCCATCATTTCGGAGTGACACTAAGTTTCCCCGTGTAGCACCAACACACTTGGAGTGTGTTTCGGCGGGTTGAAGTGCACTCGCTTGTAGTGACACTAAACTAGCCCTTCTGACAGGAGTATAAGTTTGGTCAATGGGACGCGCGGACAGAGCCAGGGCGTGCACCAGACGCAGAAAAAGGGTTTGACATGCTCTCTTGGCCAACCAGAAGCCGAAAAGAATCCCTTAGCGGTGGTAGCGAGAAACTGTTTTAATCATAGGTATATGGTTTTAATAAACGCGTAAGAGTTAAAAAGGTTGCTACCCTTCCTGATTGAAAATAGACGGCAGATTCCCGACCCCCGGCGCCTGGCGTACGGATTATGTCGATCGTTCCGCTAGTTGTGCTTTTCCAGCATGGTTTTGGATGACCGTGATTGAAACATCACGTGCACCATATTTTCAGTCACCGAGAGTTACTCCGACGGACTTATTAGTTTCGTTTCTCGCGACCACCGCCAGGGTATTATTTCCGGCTTCCGGATTGGCCACATTCCAATTTGTGAAGACGCCCTGGAATACGCCCGGCCCGCTTTCGGCTATTGGCGCCTCCTCATTTGCCTCCTATACTTCCCGACGAATGGCCAGACTCTCTACATATAAGGGTCTGTGTACACCCATTGTTTAACGCGATGTTCTCGTAAATTATGCTCAGTACTACTACAGGTCGACCTTTTTTGGTCTTGATTGTATGACCTCCACGTGATACAACAGTGCACAGAACACGGGGGCGCTGTTTTATCATGTTGAAATACAAACTAGCTCAAGTTACTACTTTACTACGGCATATGACCTCCACTTTGTAAAACCTGTACTGAGGGGAAAAAAAAAAAGAAACTCACGCGTATTTTTTTTAATGAGGTAGTTAAGGTAGCTCTCCGGCAGCACTCGATCGATTGTTTGCGGGTTTTATGGCGCAAGAGCTTTGATCAACAATGGTCATACTGCTCCAAACTAAAGAAGCAGAAGGCATACAGTAAGGAATCAGGATGCAGCAGTCGATCGAAAGGGCACCAAATTTGATTAAACACTGGCTCCAGTGCCGCTAGTTCTCGCAGAATTAGGAAAGCCAGTTTTAAAACGCAACTCTATTTTTTTCTTTGAGGGGGGGGGGGGGGGGGGGGTTGAGTGTTTTCGAAGTTTACATGTTGGATAGTTGAGTTTGTTTGGTTCATAAATATTCCTTTCTTTCTTCCTTTGTTCCTGCGGATTTGGTCCACAGAGGGTGCCTTCGGCAAAAGGCGTGAAGTCTGACAAGGGCTTGGCGTACAACTAAGTACACGCAAACAAAAACTTTCAATAGGGGTTATAAAATTCCGTACGGAAAAGCACAAAAAAAATGGCATACCTGTGTACAAGAGAATATTCTCTTGTTCTGCGATCAAAAAAACACAAAGTACAATCAAATATGCAACGAAAATATCAAATTGAATTTGAAAAACAAAAACGCACAGAACAAATTAAGATCTACACAATCATGAAATAGGTCTACGATCACAAAAAAAAACGCACACTTGCAAAATTTACGATATGATCTGAGAAGCACAAACAAAATCAGAAACCTTCAGCTGTACATAAATACACCTAATATACCGGAAAAAACAAAAACAAAACATTTGATGTAATATTCATTTCTAGTACAGTAAAAGTTCAAAAGAACAAAATATTCTGAGGACACCTTAGCACTTCGTATGAGTTGTGAATGCGAAAGCACGAATGTTGTCCTCCCGCTCCCTTAGTTCGTCTGCGGCGTACTGGCGTGGACGGCCACGTTTCGCTACTGCCGAGGTAGCGGCTGACGGCCGAGCGCCCGCTCTCGTGAAGGGGCCGCGCCGAGCTGAGCTCGGCCGTGCAGCCTCTCCGGAGTTTGCCCGTGCGGGCTCTGCGGCCAGGCCCGCACCTCTTACCGGATGCCGGGCCGCTGCGTGCGCTGCGCTGCCATGGAGAAGCCTTCTCTGGTGGCGTCCCTTGGAACTACGCAGCGCGAGAGCCAATGGGAGCCTTGTTCCTTGAAACTATGACGCGCGCCAGCCAATGGGAGCCTATCCATCCGATTTCTGCTACAGACGATAGGCTTCGCTCCATTGGGACAGGGGAAGGTGCCGTTTGGCTCGGCTTCAAAAGCTGATGACGTCGGTTCGCTCCATGGGACAGTTAATGCTTTCGCATTAATAAGAGAAACCAAGTTACTGACAACAAGATACGCTCCAATATTTCGTTTAAACTTCGGAATAGAAATTTGATAGTTTATTTCAAGCAGTTCGCGATTTAGGATTGTTGCGACTTGAAATGTCACAACAATAAAAAAAAAACAAAAAACAGAGAGGAACGTTTCAATGAGACGTCCCTTTCTGTGTTTGTTCCTTCTATTAAAAGGTTCCAATTTCTTCCACCACAGTCTCAGGTGTTGTGTGACATGATTAACTTCCTTAAGTCGAGCGCTTTGACGTACCGCACGGCAAGGCGAAGGCCAGGGTGCAGACTAGGTCGCCCAAGTAGTTTGGGTGGCGCACGAGGCCCCACAGTCCGGAGACGAGCAGCCGGTTGCCCGCGCTGTCCGCCACGAAGTCCAACCCTGCGCAGAGCGCACCAGCCCTTGGTTCTCAGCCGCACGGGACGGGTTCGTACGCACGATGGCGTTTCACTACGCTCAACTGCGTTGCGGGACGTACACGTAGAGATCCGGCTGCGAGTTAAAGCAGCAACCAGGCCGCATTGCGTCGCCTGGTTACCATCGCGACCTGCAGTCAAATCCCTCGACCCAAACCTCCGATACCCTGTCGAACGTAAATAATCCAACGCAACTTGCGGACCATGCTTGAGTTCAAACTATAGTTTCACGAAGAGGAACCGTATGCCTATATTTGTGTGTCTGCTGTCTCCGCGCCCTGGCCTTGCGATGAAACGAAAAGTGGCATTTGCGCTCTAAGGTCCGCTCACGTACCTTGTCCCCTCGGAGCAGAGTCCGGCCAGTTCCGCCGAAAGGCGTACTTGCTCTTCTGAGAAAGGTGTAGAATGGCGAGGCCAGTCGCTGCGAGACGGGGTGTAAGAAAAGGGAAAAAGGTCCGTGGAATTATGATGCAATCAGCGTTGCATTAAGCTCTACCGAACATGTATAATAGACTAGTGAAATAAAATACCTCAATACAGTTACTTGAAAAGAAAAAAAAAAATACGTTGCTTGTTACTGCGACTCAATAGGAACGCGTTACCTCAGCTTGAAAGCTGAACGTGACGCGTTATTTTCTCGTTACTCTGAATGTGTAGTTTTTATGAAGCAGTTTACTTCTCGCTTTTTAACGGGTTCATTGGGGATAACTGTACTGACATATATTGTGCAGATCTTTCGATGGTCTATCTAGCGTTTTCTCGTCGTGAAAATTGCAGGCTCGAGCTGGGGTGAGAGCTAGGTTGGGTACTCGTGTTGCACAAGTTCCCCTTAACTAAATAGCACTACGCGTCATAAAAAAACATATTTTACTCGTTCCTTCTCTTAAAAAGTAATCAGGTCGTCACTTTGTTACCGAAAAAAAAAATTAAAAATAGTCGGTAAAGGCCGATTCACACGACGGACTGATCCGCGTACGGATTGATCACGTGACGATATGTCCGCGGTTCGTCCGTCTCCCAAGCGCATCCACACGAGGGAGACGACGAGCAGACGCCAGCGAGGACGGACCGAACCTGTTCGCCACCCCACAATACCGCGAAACTCCACATCGCACCGTGGCACCGTCGTGCAGGAGAGAAATCGACGTTTGCTACCGCGATAAAGAATCTTACGCCGCTGTTACGTACAGATCGAGACAAAACACCGGGACACGTTTCGCGCGAAGCGCCACTAACTTTACTAACCCAAAGCGTGACAGTGATACAGGCATGGTCCTGCTCGAGAAAGCTTCGGCGTAGACGCGACGAAGTTCTGGGCTCGCGGAGGGGTGTTTGGAGATGCCTTCACGCACTCCGCGCTCATGCACAACACTCAAGCACATTACATCCACAAGAGAGGTCTTGCTCGGTGAAACCCTGATTGGACGTGCAAGAATTATCGCGGCGTGCTGGACGAGTTTTGACGGGAGCTTCTTGACACGGACCCGGAGGAGCACCGGAACCTGCGTCGCGTCAGCTGGACAAAGTTTCTGGAGTTTCTTTTACGCGTGGAACCAAGAATCGCGCGACATAATGAACCAACGAACGCACAAAACGCAACGATGCGCCATTTTTGTTTTGAACGCCCAGAAGCAAAATACAAAAAAAAATCATGTACCGTTGCCAGACTAAATGCTTTCCAAGTCAATCTGCCACCAAACGTCCGCGAGTGAACAAGGCGCTCGACTTTATTATAGTGCACCACTTTATCAGTCCGCGCGTCCGCGGACGAGGCGCAGATCGCAGGAATCTGTGACGTGCCGGTCACGTGGTACACGGTCCGCAGACGAAAATCGCGATTCGGTCCGTCGTGTGAATCGGCTTAGCAGGGTTAAGGATTCAGAGGAAACTCCTCCAACCTTTTCCCACCTGGGCCGAGAGAATGCTGGAGAGGAGGTGACCTCCTTTCCAGCGTTTACTCTGCCATAGCCTCCTCCATACTCACAAAGCCTGGCAGTTCTACGACGGAGCCAGAGAGTGCCCGGTCGCAGATATGGAGCGCGAGGATCTGGTAGCATAGAACATCAAAGAGCCATTTGTTGGGCAACCTAGACGTCAGCGCACAGCTATTGCAGTGGCGAGAACCCGAAACACACTTGTTCGCTCGGGGGAAGTGTGTTTCGGCGTTTCGCCGCAGCGGGGCGCCCGTCACGTGGCTCTCCTCTCATCCATTGTCTGCCGCTCCACCTTTTCAGCGGCCGCTTCTCGTGGCGATCTGCCAGGCTTTGTCAGTATATAGGAGGCTATGGCTCTGCTAATGTGAAATGCAAGTACGGCCTTAGGGCGCCGCCATCTTGCGCGCTTGGGGTGTGCTCGGGCACCTCATAATCCGCTCACGACGCGTAAAGCGCGATCCAAACCAACGCTTCTTTTTGCGCCTGTAGGTCGTGCGGCTGCGGATGTGACGCATTTTCGTGACGTCGCGCCGCTTCTTCGCTCCTTCCGGGCGCGCACGAAGAAGTTGGTTGATTTCAACTTCTTTCTCAAGCCGCACAAAAAAGCGCGGTGACGTAGCAGGCCGCGCCTGTGTCCCGGCCAATCGGTGGAGGGCAAGCTAGTTCCGGCTCCGCGTTTCTCGCCGTCTGGCTGCCCTCTCCTCCCCCCCCCCCCCCCCCCCTTTTATTCTCTTCCAACATGACAACGCGATCTCTCTCCCTCTCTCTTTCTCTCGCCGGCCAGTCTGTCGCTGTTGCACTTTGCTTGTGCGCTCGTGCCTGCGTGCGCGCGTGCGCCCCCGCCCGTAGCTGGCCCGTCCAAACCAAAGCGCACGCTTCTGACTCAGAAAGCGCGCCCGGAAACAGCAAAAACGACGCGGAATGCGTCACATCCGCAGCCGCACGACCTACAGGCGCAAAAAGAAGCGTTGGTTTGGATCGCGCTTAAGCGGATTATGACGCGCCCGGGCACACCCCAAGCGAGCAAGATGGCGGCTCCCTGAGGCCGTACTTGCAAGCGTGTATATATGTAAGTGTAACACTCTGCGCGTAACGCGTTATATGTGAGCGCTACGATAGGCAAGAAAGAATGAAGTGCCCAGATTCCCACGGAAGCAGCTGTGAAGCTGTGTATGTGGAAAAAGAGAAATGGTGTTCCTGACGGTATGCTATGGGAAGTGTGTTTGTTACATTACTGCAGTGGCGGCACGCTTTGAAACGTGGAACTTCCGGAAAGCAGACATAACAACGCCGCATTATACAAAATGACTTAGCGCATGCTCGTTGACCCTCAAAAAAGCCCAACACAGCTCTCTTGGGCAGCGCCCTGTGCTTATAGCTCCGCTATCATTAAAGGGATTGTCCGGTCGAAGCCGGAAGTACTTAAGTTCTTGCGCTCGTTACGTCGAGGGAGCCTTCATATAGACAGACGTCATTTTTATTTTGATATATGATCTCCCGTTATTAATTAAACATTTCATGGTCCTATGTACGAAACTGCACCCCGAATTTCGCCAGTGTCAATGGCTGACATCCGTAGGTGCTGCGTGACGTCACAAAACGCAAAGGTTTGTCGGATGGTCGGGATAACAAGCGTTGGTCGATGGATGTCTTGTATTTTGTTTCGAATTATATAGTCTCCTAGGCAGTACCCTGCTGAAATACGGTTCTTTTAATGCAGTTCCCAAGCACGTGCAAAAAAAGCCACGCCTTTTAGCAGGATATTACTCGCAGATAAGCTTCGAGCAAACGTATGCCGTTTCGCGCAAACACAACTGCGACGGACGCCGATCGAACTAGGGGCGTTTGCAAAGCAAAGGATGCAGATTTCGCCTCTGAAGCGGCACTTAGGTACACGAAGTGGCATCTGGGTACACATTTCGGCGGATCCACTGGATCGGTGATGAGGCTGCGGGTCATTCCCTCAGAGGCGACGTCCGCGGGTCGAAGGCAAACGGCGAACCGTTCAAGTGCATGTCGGACTCGTCACTTGACTTGGACGAGCTTGGTGAATCGTAGCTACCTCCATTTTCACACGCGGGTCAAACAGATATCGGGCTGCACGCGTGCTAAATACAACTTCTGGTATCATTTCGAGATTGCCAAGCTGTTGGTTTCGGTTTCGCTGCATAATCAAGGTCTGTTCGATTCGGCCAGGAAGTTCTGAGCTATAGTCGGTTACAAGTCAAGAAGGTAGCGGCAAATGCCCCTCAAAGGGAATCTGCATTTCGACGATAGGTTCGCGGCATCAGGATGATTTTGCGTCGGGAGTCACTGGCGGCAGCGCGCGGTCGGTATACCGGTCACCTCGAAGGCGAAGGCCTGACGATACCGTCTTGGCCAAGACAATTATCGACCGTAACTTTGGCGTCAAGTTGAAGCGAGAATCGGCAAAAAATACCGATTCTCGTTTTTTTTCTTAGGCCCGTTAGTGGGCGTCCACAGATACCAGCGGACAAAGCATGCAGTATTATGCTCAGCTACGGGGACTTGCGAGTGCCAACGCACTAAATCCCAGACCTCTGCAATGTATCGGAGTCGTCAATATGCATTCAAGAGCAACTGAAGGCGGAGGCTATCAAGAGGGCAATACCTTTCCCGTGTCTGTAAGTAAGAATATCAACACTGTGGATCCCAACATAGCATTAAAAAGAAACAATTTACGTGAGCCAATAATTCAACACTCACCACAGGGAGCCAAACCTACGCGAGCAGGTGCCTAAAACGCTTTTAGAATATCATAATCAAGCAAATTCCCACCCTCGGTTACGATCTCAATTCCGCGTCCACCGCGGGCACGTTATTATCATATATGAGAGGAAATGCAACCTCCGTATCGGCGTTATTGTTAAACATCGCAGACATTTCAGCAAGCGCTGCGAAAAATGGCACCGCGAGCAGAGACGGACGAGGAGTTCTGCTATCGCCGTGTGCTCTTGTCGTCTGTTTCTGCACGGACGCTGAACAGAGTCCGGAGCCGGTGCAAGATTTCGAGGAACTGGGTCTGAACTCGTTCAGAACTGGAATGAATCGAGCGCGCCAGTGCAGCGGTCGTGCAACTTACGGTTGAATCGAATGCAGTTCCTGCAATGCCGAACTAGTTCAGCCAGTTCAGGCGAATCGAACAGGCCTAAATTGACTGATCCGATTTGGGCGAGGAGTGGGTGGACGTAGTTTAATATCGTTGGCACAGCATCACACCTCAGCTTACAAGCCTTCTGTCCGCTGAGAGCTCAGCTCGTAGCTTCCTTCTGTGAGACGATTGCTGCATAAGCAGGATCTCGATCTGGACGGGAACCCAGTCCCTACGCACGACGACGATCCACTCGTCACTGCACGTCTCGCGGAAAAGTGTGGAACGTCATGTCTTGGCTCGCATGTGCTGCCCGGTGGTTGTGGCACCCAACCGCGCAACAAAACTCTCACCCAACCACAAAACAAGTTGAGCATAACAACAAAAACGAAGCACGCTGAAGCGTTCACTCGCAGGCAAACAGCGAGACAAAAATACTCGCTTTGTGTTTTGTGACGTCAGAGCTTCAATGTTGCCAACGAAAGCAGCGTTTACGCTAGAATGCGATATGAGCAGTATAAATTCAATTACTCACGCAGAGGGGCATATAAAATTCGAATATTGCACGTACCATGCTTCTCGAGGCAATAACAATGATATTCAATTGTTTTCTCGAATACAAAAATTTGACCGGACAATCCCTTTAAGCGGATGTCTGTTTGGGAGCATACGCCGAACCCGGCTTGACGATCGTTTGGTATTAACGCGGACTCGGAGAACTGGCGGTGTTGGTAGCTCCCGCTCTATTTTGGTACTCTTTATACTTGACGTCAACAATTTTGTGCTACGTTGTCAAGGCGTAGTCTCCAAATAATCCTGGAGTCCCTCACTGCTCCAAGAGCACGTGGCTTCGTCTTGCGTCACAATCGCACGCGCTCTACTGATAAGAAAAGGTCTAACGAAGCCACGCGCTCGAGCAAACAGCTTATGTGGGAACTACGTTAACCTTGGCATTTTGGCATAAAAAATAAGAAATTGACGTTGAGTATAGAATAGAGCTTTCGGTAGCACTTTGACTGAGTGCTGTATACAGTATACAGTATATATTATTAGGTTCCTCCACTGTAAGAAAAAATATGGTCTCAAAGGACTAACGGCAGCACTTGGTCCTCTGAACTCCCATTTACTTCCCGACGAAACCACCTGGTTCGAGCTAGTAGCGTGAGCAAATGCTGGGAACTAACTGCCACTCGACCGGGACTATCAACTTTCTGCGTGTAGTCAGGAGTTACATATACATATAGGCTATAGTCACTGTTTCTGCATCGCTGTGCTCGTGCTCGAGTGGTTCGGACTGATCCACCCACGCTGTAGGTGAAGGCGGTCGTTATAAAGTGGGGAATTGAATAACACTGCTTTAAGGGAGGGAGAGAGAGAAAAAACCTTTATCAAAGCCACCCATGTCCGGGCAGTGGCGCGCTCTAAGGTATAAAGGGTGACGGTCCAAGAACCAAAAATCGAAAAAAGAAAAAGCAGACTGACTAACATTTCAGTATTGGGTCATGATTAGAGTGTTTGCAAAAACAGAACAATAGACGTGCTTTGAGCCAAGACGTGCGCTCTCCCCTCAAACATTTTGACGGCTTTGTGTATGGAAAATCAAGGAATGGATCATTTTGAAAAAGACAGCCACGGTCCTCGGCGTTCCCTTGTGTACTTCTGGGTGTTCAGTCACTCCGGGACGTGTCATGGTTAGTGGAACATTTCGTGGGATGGGCCTGCCATGAAATGCAGAGCGCGACAGATTCCACGCCCGCGATTTGTGGAACTTACATGTTCCTGGAATTATTTGGATGACCTCGTAGGTACTCCAGACTTCTTTAAAGTAATTTTCAGCTTACAGTAACTACGGTAGTTCGAGTTAAGCGTGTGTGTATAGCCGGTGGCTGGTACAGCACGCAGTAGAGGATCCGCCTTCAGCGCGAACTTTCGACCTTTGTGAGCACTTTGGCGCACGCGCAGTCAAAGCGCGACGGAAGGAGATGTCAGAGGGGTGAGGCAGAGCTTCCAGTGGATTCTCAACCGGCCACCGACTATTGACGGTTAATTTCGTATCATAAAATTTTGCCACAGGATGCGATTTTCAGCAAAGTGACTATAAATACATTTCCCCCTTTGTACTGCAAATACCATCTGACCCTGTGCTTTTCAGTGTGCCGAGTATCTTCGAAAGTAATTTATGTCTTTAAGGTATTTGTACTCTGTTCAACATGTTTTGCACTAAAAAAAAAAAAATAAAAAAAAACTCGAATTACTTTATCAGGCGGGGGCAACTCAACCCATGGTTGAACGAGCGATTTTCAGGCTCAATCCTCTGTTGCTCTGTAGAGATACAGTACAGCAACGCGCATAATATGTAAAATAATAGTAAAAAAAAACTGTGTCATTCTTTGGGGAAAAAATGAAGAGCCGAATAAAGTTTTCTCGCGCCTCCGCGGTGAGCAAATTTCTCTCACAATTACCGCGCAGATGCCTACTTGCAACATACATGTAACGTGGCGGGTGGCTCTATAGGCAAAGCACCGTCCTATGCAGTTTGACAGGTGGCGGGTTCGAATCTCGGCCGAGGTGCCCGCAATCTGACCGAAACTGAGAAGGCGCTGTGTAAGCGACTTTTCGGTTGCACGTCAAAAGATCTACAGGTGTTCGAAATTACTCTCCAGTCCTTTGCTGGGGTGTGCCAGATGCCCTTCGATTGTTTGACACGTGAAACCCCCAAATTGTAAATTTGAAGGTGTGAAAGTTTAGGTTTCATGCATCCCCATTCCCCACCAAGTGCCTCATCGAACTGGCAGTGCATGGCCAGTCTCATCAAGGCCCCAAACTCGCCTATCGATCTGCTCACCGAAGAGCGCCAAGATGGTGGCGAGGCGGTGCGGGGCCAGGCCCTGGCGGTGCTCGAGCAAGAACTTGGCCGGCAGCGCGCCCAGGAAAGGCATGGCCACCAGGTTGCTGGTCATCGCCACGTAGCCCAGGGCGTCCTCGGTCACAAACACCGAGGACAGGAAGTACTCCTGCGCAGGCGTGATCTCGGGGTCGGGGTGCGGCTTCGTCCTCGGCGACTCTGATACGGGCAGCGGTAACCAAAAGCCGCAAACTCAGAAGTCCCCGAGTGGATGCTGCTCCCCTATGCACCAACATTGGTCTTCTTTTATGCCCCTGTTTTACAGGCATTTCAAAAAAAGCCCTCAGACCGAAGACCTCTATAAACCCATTTCAGAAAATCTGGCACCGGCGAAAATCCGTTGACCGAGTCCAACAACATTGGGCGGCCGACGCCATGGTGAAGGACTCTGTTGCAGCCTGTACACCTGCTTACACTGCGGTGTTCTTGCGCTTCCTCTGTCCCTTCGCCTCTTTATGGCTGTAGGTAGCGTTTTCTCTATCTCGAGTTGGGTAAATGACATTTCCCAACTCTCAGCCGTTAAGGATGACGAAATACATCGCTTCTACTAGAGTTAATCGGAGCCAGAGCGCTCCCTCGACAGAAGTTACAAGTGGAAACTTACCTCGAATACGTATTTTACTGGTCGGATTTACGCATTAAATTTTTAAGTTCCAATTTCAAATACAAAAAAAAAAAAACACACCTATGCTTTTAAATAGGTCAGTTTTTTATTTTTATCGTACTTGAAGTAGAGACTTGAATTTTGAATCTGTCAATAGGACTAGTATTCAACTTGATACGTTGAGCCGCTCATTTTTGAGTGTCTCAAAATAAAGTCACAAGCTACATTCAATGGCCCGTCAAAAATCAGCGAGCGACTGAGCGTATTAAATTGAAACTTGCCTAGAATACGTATTTTACTTGTCCCATTTACACAATAAAAAGTCAAGTCTCGTCATGACGTAGGCAAAAAAATACAAAAATAAAAACTGACCTTTTTGAGGCATTTTTGTTTTTTGTACTTGGAATTAAGACTTATAATTGTAATGCGCAAGTTTGACCAAGAGAATACGTATTCGATGTAATTTGCTACTTGATACGTTAAGTCCCTGATTTTTGCGGGCAATTTTTCGAGTCGAAGCTTTGTTTTGAAACAGCCTGTAGTCGTAGAGCAGCAGGTTTGTGGTGAAGCAGAAGCTGCAAGTGCGTGCATGTTGTTTTGCATAAAGCATGCGCTGCACACGTGTGTACGCGCTACAGGCAGGTTAAAGCGTGAGGTCGTAAGGCTTCGTGCGTATGACCTAACACATAATTTACGTGCGCAAGTTGGAAGCACCGCGAGCTCGCGCATACGTGAAGCTATAGGGAGTATTCACTGGCGGCCATATCCATGTGCGCTGCTGCTGAGCGCGTGCTGACGGCGAGCTTCCGCAGTCCTTTTGGAGCGTGATTTTAGCACCATCATGGTTGCCGGTCTTAGTAGCCTACTCATGTGAGCTCGTTCTGAGCATGCGCTCTAAACATCGCCCTCAAATATGGCGTCCAGTGAATACCTCCTATAGGCGCTCGCCAAGCAGTCATGTCCACAAGCGGTACCACGAACAACATTATATTTGTGTTTGACGCTATGATTCCTTCAAATAAGCTGAAACTTAAGAACTCTACATCCAAACACTACGAAGTGAGATTAAAAACATTGGACTCCAAACGCCCAAGGGGCGTTGGGTCCCTTGGGCGAATTTTGAATTCTTAAATTCACCCAAGGGCACGCTAATTTCGAAAGGGGTTTTAGACCCCTTTCGAGATTCGCATTCCGATTATTAGAAGGTCGGAACGCCTGCACCATTGCGGAACAGCGGACATCGTGGAACGTGCAAGTCATTCCATAAGGTAGCGACATCGAAGCGCGGCCAACGATAGGAGCCAGCGAGCCAATCAAACAGCGTCGAAAGTGCAAACGTCACTGCGCTCATCACCTTTTGCTGTGGGAGAGTTTTTCTTCTACTCCAACCAGACACATGAAGTGTGCCGTGACGTTACGGTTTTGGTTCACCATTGTGCAGGGATTCCAGAGCTGCCAACAGAGGGCAGTATTTAAAAAGGGGTCCATTGTAGCCGCTCCGGTAGGAGTTCAAGTGCACTTTGTACTTCGCCGCCCCGCAGGAGGAGCGGGCTCAAGTCAAGGTTTTGGCTATGTAGAAACGCGTACTGTGCTATTACAAATTTTACATTCTTTATTTATTTTTTTTTTTAAATTTTTTCATTTGTGTAGTCCCGTGCTTCCTTCCCAATTCTCAACTTCCTTGCCGCAGCGCTATGTTCTCACTTGTAAGTCATCTCCTGACGAAGCCGAGTCTCTCGGCGAAACTGTTGATTAAACTTCCGCTGTTTGTTGTTCTCACCGTGAGTTTTTCACTTTGTTATATATAGTGTTAACTTCTGGTCTTCGTTCAGATCAGAAGGTAGAAAAAGGGTACTCGCATTAGTAGAAAGAAGATAAAAGTAACGTTTTAATACTTAAGCGGTTGGAGTGGCCACACAGGCTGTGGTTTCGTCGGTCACGATCGCCACACAGGCATTCCAGTCTCACACGAGCTCGTGCACACACAGTGCTCCGGCTCACGAGGTCTCGTCGCCGTCTTTTTTTTCTTTTAGGGGTCGCTTACTTGTGGGAACTTTACAATAGTATATATAAAGTCATCCCCAGAAGTGTTTTTATATCGCGGCAATAACGTCTCCCTTCAGCGGCCATGTATAACGCCCACATTACAATTGGGAGAAGGCTCTTACCTCGTGTAGGACTACGAAGCAAATGTACAGGAGCTGGCAGCCGGCGCTCAACGCGAAGGCTCTGTCGATGCCGTTATGCTGCCTATACTCGTGCCAGGCCATGGAGCCCAGGAGTACCGCCTGATTGCCGAAGCAGAAAAAGATATCTTTTAAAGGAATACTGCAACGAAACTTAAAATATACCTCTTATGTTTAGAAATGTGTTAAACATGATTAACTCTATCTGCTAATGATAATCGCATGCTTGTATTTCATATGGATGGTTGTATTTTTTGTCCTAGATGTCCTATTTTGGCGAGCGCTTCAAAATCAGCCGTTAAAGAGAGCGGTGCGTCTCGGGATATCCGTCGCGCCCACGAGTTGCCCGCGACGTCATCGGCCTCCCTAGGGCCAAGCGTACCGTAGTTATGAGCGTTGACACTTGGTGGAGTCAATGCGTTACTACCTCGCTTGGTCAGAGTGCCCGAGGGCTGTAACACATCACCGGCAGATTGTTCTGCAGGCGGAGTCACGTCGTCTGCTCCGCGCGACTTGACCGATATGGTGACATCGGCAACGTCGGTTTCGGGCGCGAGCTCGCTGCTCTTTGAACGGGACGACATCGTCGCGAGGCGGCTTAGGCACCTCTGTTCAGTGATTTATACGGACCCACCGAGGTTGAGCCTGACACCCCCCGGAATTTGCTGCGCAAAGCACATACAAGGTTACATCCCCCCCCCCCCCCCCCCTTTCCCTAGCTTAAACATTCTGGATAAACCCCTGCCCCTGTTATCTCGCACGAGGCGAGATGCTGGTATATATCGTACTTCATGTTGCCTAAGGTGACGGCAGGATCATGTGTGTCATTGGTAGGACTAAATAATTGCCGCTTGCCTGATTTACCACCGATTGTTCACAACGACCAGACTCGGCGAGGGCGCCAACCTCACGGATAAATAAATACCCCTCTGAAGGCGCCATACCAGTTGGCATCCTTCATTTATTAACCCTTTGCCTACCTCAAAACTTTTGAAAGAAACGATCTGAAAATACAGAATATTTTTATGTGCCCTATACATTTTATATGCAATACAAAGGCCAAAAACAAATGCCAAGATATTTATTATATGAGAAATCTTTGAACTCACTGCAAAAGAAAAGCGGACTAAAGTTCCGCTGCACTGCATTACCGCAGAAACTTTACATCACCTTGCACATGGACATTCAGGCCGGGCGTAGCAGTACTGCAGACAGTTCACATCACATGGCACGCAAAGTGAACGCAAAACGTGGAGGGGCTGGAGGGGGATTTTCTACATTAATTCTAGTCCATGCCGACACGCCGACACGATGTCCTCATCGAAATCGGAGTCGTCTGAGCTCAAATCCAAAAACTCAGTTGCATTTCTCTCGCTTTCAATGAAAGATTCATTTCCTCTTCTGAATCTTAAGAGACGCCACAATATCTCCGTTTTCGCCCCAATTTTGAGGCAAGATCGTCACTACAAACGCAGCGATATGGTGTACTATTCTAGTACACCATAGCAGCGACGAGAAGTTGACGTCGCCATTTTTAAATCCCCTGTTGCCTGCGTTGGAACAATTTTCTGCCAAATTCAGAAATTTACCAGGTTTTTATTTTCCGTGAAGCGCCATCTATCCACGGCAAAGCTCACTTGAAACACACGGACTAGCCCAGTTCGTCCATGGTGGCGTATTGGAACCCGAATCAAGGTGGACGAGCCCAGCTCATCTTCGGGGGTAGCGGTACAAACAGTGAGGACAAACTCAGGTCGTCCGTGGTAGGGAAAGGGTTAATGCGAGCAGGGAAGCAGGCCGAGTTCGGTGAGGCAGCACGGCGGTGGCATCACTCGAGTATTTCACGGCGTGTATCGCATCGACAGTGGTGTGACCGCTGCATTGCCACGCCATCATGACGAAACGCGCACTGCATGACGATTTCGCGACATTCCTTGTCATAAGGGCGAGCACTAAACTAGTGAGATCGCAACTTGAGTGCGCCTCAGTTGTGTGAGACAGCATTTCTAAAACTAAATCTTTGGCACTCGACAGAGTTCAAAATAAGTTTATTTCCATCTTTAAGCATTTCTACGTAACTCGTGAACTTGCTGAGCCTGCATCAGCGTCGAGCTAAGGAGGATATGTTGTTTTTATTTAAAGTTCCTCACGGTTTTATTAACTCTCCTAGCCTCTTGTCAGAAGTGAGCCTTAGAGTTGCATATGTGCCTACATGGCATCAATCATCGTTTTATACCTCTCGGAATTTTAATCGATTAAGTTCTAGTTTGAGATCGGCTGAGTTCTACAACATTTACTCTGATGCACTCGATATTTTTGTTTCGTGCTGCTGAACTTTTGATATTTCTGTTTGCAGGCAGTTACTGCTTGAAAAGGGTTGATAAGCACTTGTGTGTCGCTACGGTACCATGTACCTGCCATTATTTAGAATATGCAAGCTTTGGTGTGTCTTCTACTTTGTTCTTCTGCTTGTTCCGAGTGCTTGAACTGTCTTCTGATTTGGGACTATCCTAGTGTCAGATTGGTGAACAGCGTTCCACCACTGTCCTGGTATTTCTGTCTTAATATTTGTTTTCTCTCACAAGTGTACCTGCAATAAGATTCAAGAGGTTCCTGGACGTTGAAATAAACAATTATTGATTTATTATTATTATTATTAAAATTATTATTATATATTTATATGCATACCTCTCTGTATATCTCGCACTAGCATACCTCTCTGTATATCTCGCAACTGTTGTCCTATATCTTATGTAGATGTTGTTAAATATTTAGGAATTCAATTTGACAGTGAATTGTCATGGAATTTCCATCTGTCAGAAATTTTTAAACGACTAAGAAACTTATTTTGTTCACTGTACGATACCAGGTCTATAATGCCTAAACCAACGAAAAAAAACAGCAAAAGAACAATAGCTCACGCTTTAGCACACAGTACTTTGCGTTACGGAATAACTATCTTCGGGCACTGCCAGGACGACGGCGGTCCAAGCAGTGACTAAAACTTGAAAGCAATATTTAAGAGCATTGTCTATGGTTCAATGTCGTAAACTGATAAACGATATGGTAGCAGCCTTGGGTTTGCCATTGTCTAGCTCTGTATAGGTTCAGACCGCTGTACTGAAACCCTTCTGGTGTAATAATTTCAAAGTACCCCATGTCGTGGCTAGATCGCTTCGGTACATCGAGCGCTATGAAATGCCTTTTGTTGTAAAAAAAAGTACGGAAAAAAATTCGGAATTTTTATGTGTTACTATAGTTAATAGCTTACCGCACGATATTCGCACTGTGGACTCGCTAAAAAAAACTTAAGTGCTCAGATGTATTAGTGCAACTTTGTGACTGTGCTAGGTGTGTGCATTTGTTTATGCGACCATCATCGTTTGTATCACAGTTTATATGTGATGCACGTTGACTTTGGAACTTTGCGTGTGTGGGGACCCTTTTTGATCACGAAGTGTAGGGTCCTGTCCTACAAGTTTTTTGTCTGGATTTCACATACCCGGCTCTCTACTTTATCAAGTGAACTAAACGCGTAAATAAACATTAATATTACTATGAATATTATCATTATTATATAGACCCCCTTCTGACAGAATTCCTGACTTTCTCTCTGAATTACGCTGCTGTATACAGTCGTTGCCACTCACTGCATCTCTGTCTTACAGGAGACATTAAAATCGACCTATTAAAACCATCTAAATCTACGGTTTATGAATACCTCACTCTAGTGGCCGACTGCGGAGTAGAAGCTTCTAGTCATACCCCAACAAGAGAAGAATATCTGAACACAAGGCTTGTCAGCTCGTCCATTGATCACATTGACCTAAGGCCACCTTTCTTAACAATCAAATCACCCATTATAACCCATAAACTATCAAGCATGTCAGTTGGAATTTCCTCGTGAAGTGGGTGCTAAGCCCAGTACTCAAATCCGCCAGATTGAAATAGTTGACTGCCAAGGATTTGACGAGCATCTTTCCGATTATGACTGGGTAACTTTCGAACGGTCTGTATGTCATTCAGAAATATATTCTTCTTTTGTTGAACTCTCCCAGAAGTTTGCTGACGCATAAAAAAAGTTATTCTTTTTGAAGCAGAGGAACTCCAATTTACGCTGGATTAACAATGACATATTAGCTGCAATTAAACTTAAACAAATAACCTAGAAGCGCTGCCGCCGCTTACCACACAACCAAAGCCTCATTACGAAATTCATATCTATCCAAAACAAAGTTAGTTCACTCATCCGCTCTGCTAAACGGGCTTACTTCAAAAGAAGTTTTCTAAATATCGAAACAAAGCCGGTAAAAGCTGATCATTGATCAACGAATTGCGCGGTGTTTTTCGCGTAGAAGGTAGCATTGTAAAAGACACCTTTGGTACTGACTCACTTTATGCTGCAAATCGTTTTAACGATTTCTTTGCTTCTTTTTTTGGAACAGCCGAAAACTGCTCAATGGGTTATTCTATTCCTAACTCGAACTCTGCCCTCGCTTTTCTTCCTTACATGACAACAAGCGACTTAGAATCTATAACACTGAGCCTCGGATTCAACAAATCCCCCGGAACAGATGAAATACGCCTTGGTAATCTTCGAAGAAGTTTCACTTACATTAAGGATACACTCTTTCACTTTTAAAATATATAACCGAGACTGGTATCATACCTCGTGCATTAAAAACCGCTGTTGTCAAACCCCTATTTAAGGGAGGTCACCGAAGTAAGGTAGAAAACTATCGCCCCATATCTATTTTGCCATGTGTGGCACAAATATTTGAGAGATGTATTGATATGGCGATGTCATCCTTTATTGATAAATATCAAATCATGAATTTGAGTCAGTATGGCTTTATTGCTGGCTGAAGAACACAACCTCTCTTAAACGCGGTTTCTGACGACTTATGGCTTTTAGCATAACTTGTTTACTTACGCTTGCTTCCTTGACGTGTCAAAAGCGTTCGATAGTCGATACTGCTAGTCACCCCATACTGCTTAGCAAACCTTCAGTCATAGGATTCCGTGGATCTTTCTTGGCGTTTTTAAAAAAAGATTTCTGCTTGGGTGCTTACAGTTGGTTTCAGTGAACAATGTGCGAAGTTCCAAAGTTAGTTTGAAAGCTGGCGTTCCACAAGTCTCCGTTCTTTCTCCACTATTGTTTACCTTTTATGTCAACGATTTACATAGCGTGGTTTCAAACTGCATTCTTTACCAATACGCAGATGACACTCTTTTATCAACACGTCATACTTCCTACCCAGAAGCGCTTCGGATGCTCCAACACTCCTCCAACGAACTCATGAACTGGTTTTCTCGTAACTTGATTTCTATAAATGTGTCAAAAACAAAAGCTCGTCTGCTTTCGCAATCCCTTGAAAGTAGCTTTCTGAAATGTTCATTTTTTGTTACACACATCAAATTGTACCTCGCGCCACTATGTTGAAGTCCCGTAGTCTGGTACTGTAAAATATCTTGGAATACACTTCGACTCCGATCTTTCGAGGAATTCCCATCGAAAGTATGTTCAAAGTTAAGAACCGTTTCTTGTTTGTTTTATAACATCAAAACATTCATGCCCCTCGGCTTACACAAACGCATTGCTTATTCGTTAGCCTATAGTCACCTGCGCTATGGTATACCTGTTTTTGGTTCATGCTCAAATTTATGGCAGACGGAAATAGACAGTATCTTATACCCCTGTCATACCGGCAAGTTTAGTGCACTTCAAGCGAGTGCACTTCAACCTGTCGAAACACACTCCAAGTGTGTTGGTGCTACACGGGGAAACTTAGTGCCACTCCAAAATTATGGCAATGACGATGGGTAAAGTAATTGTCACGCAAAATACAAAAGTGTATACGCATATTTTCATTAATAACTTCCGTCTTCTTATTAAAAACACGTTACCACACATCGTTGCGCTAAGACACGAGTGTTAATCCAAATTTAAATCAAATTCGATGGCTATGATCAGCCATTACAAGCCCGGCAAATCCAAAATCTAAACACCACTTTCTTTCGCCACAACGAAAAAAAAATAAAAAAATTTGGGGTGTGTGTATGTGTAGGGCGACTTGTCTCCCGGCTGTAGATGAGCAATTTAGCCAGCGCAGTACAACCGCTAGCATGGGTTTTTTAACGTGTACCCCGCAGTAGTGATACACGACCGCACGCTGGTACGATGCTCATCCAGACCAAAACGGGCAGGGTGGAGATTGAACCCAGGATCCATGGGTTCTGCAGCGCGAGATTTCGCTCCGCGTCCTCCGAGCTGGTGTGCGCGAGGCGCCGCGAGCCCACTAGCCACTCGCCACAACGAAACATTATGGGGTGTGTGGAGGACGATCTGGAGAGTGATATCCGCGATCTTGGATAGTAGAAGCGCGCGGTGGGGGCACTTTTCTCCGTGAGAGCCCAACGCCTTTCAGATGAGAGGCAGCTGGAGCTGGATGCTGACGCACAGGCAAGAATTTTAAGTGACATCGATCAGCAGCTGCAGGTCAATGCCTTCACCATAGCCGTTCTCATGACCGACAGCCTACCCGCGATCAGTCGAGAACGGTGGAGTTTCCAGAGGAACGAACAGTGGTTCGAAGACACCTTGTCCCGTTTGGGCGAGTTCCACTTCATGCAAGCCTTTCGCGTCTCTCTTGCCACCTTCAGATTCCTGGTGGAGTCTTGCAGGTGCCTCCTGGCCGTCGCTGGCCGTCGCGCAGGGGCCAAGGCTGGAAACTAGATTATCCGCTTGTTTTTCTGCAATGCACTACTTCCTTGCCAACAGAAAACAAGTGCGCATCTAATATTACTCCTATCGAAGTAATACTAATTTTACGCAGCGTTAATTTCTTCCATTATTTTTACTCCTTGAGCACTGCTATCGAGATTGCACACTCGGTCTACTGGAGCGAGCGTAGTGTGCTCCCCGAACTCACTTCGTCGGAAGTGCGTTCTTCGGGCAGGGCTGGGGATTGAGCTGAGGATCGCTGGGTTCTGCAGCGCGACCTTTCTCTCCACGTACTGCGATCTGGTGGGCGCTAGCCCGCTTGGCCACCGATACCCCTTAATAAAGACACGTTAAAAAAATTAGACCTTTACAATTCTCTGTAATGCCGAATTGGAGCGCAGCTCTTGAGGAGGAGCAGGGAAGTGTACAAAGGGGAGGGTATACAGCCGCTCCCCCTCCGTACCCTGCTCTCCTGCTCTCACCCCACTTAGCGTAAAAATTTCGTTGAATTTCCCGCTAAATTTAGCGGGGAAATTTTCCCGCTGAATTGACGTGTGACTCATATGACACGTCACGTGAAATTTTAAGTGGGACGTCACGTGACGCCACACGGGTAAAATTTTCTCTCTAAATTTAGCGAAAAAATTTTCCCTCGAACTTAGCAAAAACTTTTGCCGCCAAATTTAGCGGCAAAAGTTTACCTTCGTGACGTCACACATGCCGTCATGTGTGACGTCATTTTGGGAAACATCCCTTAATACAACGCGCGGTTACGCCGACGCCGACGCCGCTCAACCCAGAAACGGGTGCCTAGGAGCTGTGCTCTAAAACAACGTTACATTAATGAACGATTTTTACGCCACTTGGATGATTCTGATCGATCATCGCAAGCCAAGATAAAGAAAAAAACATATCCAACTTTGGCGTTCTGCTTTGTCCCACGAAAGTCTACGAGGAGGCCGTGAAACTGCCCAATTAGATCATAATTATTGTGTTGTCTCGAATAGTTACATGTTGAAACAAAAGTAGACTCTATCATTCTTTGCTAACCAAGATAGCCGTTGAGTGACTGACTTTGTCGTCGTCTTTTATCAATTCACCGCGGCGCTAATCTTGGTTAAGATCAGCATAAACTCCAAGTCCACCCCACTATTTTTTGGCCAATGCCACTCTTCCACATGTCCTCTCTTTCAGGAATTTATTCTTTATAAAATAATACTTCCGCCACGTTTATGGTTTCTGTGTTGTTCTGTTTTACTGTTGAAACACTCCTATTGATGCCACGCACTCGATGGAGCGAAGTGAGTTCGTCAAACTCACTCTAAGCCAAGTGTGTTCCTCAGGAAGAAGCCGTGTGGTACACTACAGAAATGACACTAAAGGCGAAGTGAACTTGGTTGAAGTGCACTAAATTAGCCCGTCTGACAGGGGCATCAAGGGGGATTTTGAAAAACATGTGGTATAACTCCAATTATTCTCATCTAGACCTTTTTAAGACATTGTCAATGCCGTACTTTAGATCTATTTTTTTTTTTTTTAGAAACAGTGGTGATTACTGGTCTGACGAGAAACACTACTGGTCTGACGACTTTAAATCTTCTCGTCCCGTCTCACGGCAACTAGGAAACGTTTCAAAATATCTCGTCCCGAAATGCTACACACGATATGGCAAGAATATGCGTTCCTTCTACGTTCCACATATTTTTAATCTATTACCAGCAGATCTCTCGAGCCTTACTTCGAAGAAAAAACTAAAAAAGCGCCTCCGCCATATGCATATAATAAAATAAAAAGTTTAATGATCCTTCTTTTTGTCACATTTCTATGGTGTTTGTTTGTGTGAGTGTGCCCTTTTTTGTCACTCCACTAGACTCATCATCTGGAAGTTCTGTGCCTCACATTTTTGTGCCGATATTTGAATGTGCCGCGAAAAGACGGGCAGAAAAAGCTTTCACTTTTTTCTTTCCTGACACTGTGTTTTGAAAAGTCTACGATTTTTTACTAATGATTTATATTGATCAGTACTACTGAAGGGAACATTTACTGCGATCTTCCGTCGTTTTAACTTTTTTTTTTCTTCCTTAACCGACTATGTCACCAATTCTACCTATAAGGGTTCAGTCACAGAAGCCCTTGTCGGCTTTGACGAACCAGACTTCTTCATCATGGGTATATATCCTCGAAAACAAATGTGTCGTTGTTATTATTATTATTATTATTATTATTATTATTATTATTATAGAAACAATAGCTCATTTCCCAGACACTTTGGCGAAGTAAGGGTAAAAAAATAATTTCGATAAGAACATGAAAAAGTCATCAGGTCATTTCGGCGATCAGACAGAAGGTTACAATGCGTATAAACTAACGCGTTGTTATTTATTACAGGCGCCTCTGTCGACAGGAGAGGCACTGCGCATGCGCGGAAACTTGCTTTTCGAAGCATTTGCACAGGTGCTTTTCCCTAGCCAGAAACGTCTCCCCATCGTGGTACTGGGCATTTGTGTGCGGAGAAAGATCGCCTCACCCATCCGAGGAGGCCGCAACGGAACGAGAGGGTGGCCAGGTCGTAAAGCTCGCCGATGCGTGGGGACAACTCCCGGCCGAACACGAAGTCGTGGAGCACGTTCCCTGGAGGGAGAGTCACCATCACCCCGTTCACCCCGTTCACACACTTGCGTCTGCTTACGACCGAGCTCTTGTGACCTCTGACGACGAGAGAACACTAGAGAGCACGCTGGCACCATTTATGAGTTGACCCTGGAACTGCATTTCCCTAGAGCGAGGGTTTGGCGGTATTTGCGAAATCAAATGTACGTTGTATCTATGAGAGATGGTCGTTTATAATCGTGGAGGTAGGAATAAGAGGAGGCGACACACGGGCTCAAGCCAGGCAAACGAGAAATTCCCCAGGGGAAGCCGGAAGTAGAGGTCGCTGTCGGTGAGAACGTCCCCGAGGGTGCCCATGTACGTTTAATAGCGCCTTTTGGTTTTGGTCATTGGTACGGGGTGCGTCCCTCCAAACCGGAAGCCTCTCCCGGCTTCTCCTCTGGTGGCGTCATGTCGCTTCCAGAAGTTTCCTAGCTCCATGTTTTTAACATTAGAAAAATGTTCTCGAGCCAAGAAAGAATGATGCGCGAATAAATTGAAAATATACGGAAACCACTGAAAGTGTCTAGGACTGCCTGATAGGTGGAGTCAGTATGTTCTCTCAACGTAAAATATTTTAAGAGGTTTAAAAAAAAAAAAAAAAAAAAAAAAACTGACTCCTCAAAATTTGCATTTTTTTTGTCTACAGCGATTCAGAACGTGTCATTAACCCCCACTCCCCCCCCCCCCCCCGCCCCCCCCCCCCCCCCCCCAAAAAAAAAGGTTGTCACGTAAAAAAACAAGAACAACGACAACAACAACAACAACAACCACGCTATAGTGAAGTCGCGTGTTTTTTATTTTAATTTTTGCCGTTTTCCTTTTTTACTGGAACTTCCTCGCTTCTTTGGGGATGATGTAATAAAAGCAGAAATTTAAAGGCTTCGTAAGCTACATTTCTATAACATTGAATAACAACATTCCTGAAGCATATTTCTTTCGACGCAATTTCTAATTCTTTCGAAATATAGAAAAGCGGAAAAGCGGAGCCCGGAAGTGTCAGTGACAAAATCGGTCGTTGCCGCACCCCAGTGTCCTCCTCCTTTATCTGTTCTTGCAACATGGCGGCGCATGGCAGCTGCGATGTCGGGGGTGATCGCGCAGTCGAAAACAAATCAGACAAAGTGTTTTTTCTTTTTTTTTTTTCGGTGCCTGATGGCTTTTCGATCTTCAAAAGGAAATCGCCGAGCGTTCGAAACAACTGGGCTCGGTTACTCACGGCACACCTGATCAGAAACAGGGGGATACCGATGTAGTCACCGTGTCGTCGGCACTTTCGGATCCGGCACAACTGGAGTAGCCTCTCACGCAACACTGGCCCGACATGACCCTCACGTCGCTCGCAGAAGTTCCCTACACATAACGCCCGTTCACACACTTGTGTTTGACTACGACCGACTTCGACACGACCCGTTCTAAAGCACCGTTCACACGTATGCAACCGAGTAAGACCGAGAGAGACCAGACCGGTTTTTAAGCCTCTTAAGACGTCTTAGGACCAGCTCCGCTGCAGCGCATCCGGTCCTAAGAAGACGCAAGAGGCTTAAAAACCGGTCTGGTCTTTCTCGGTCGTACTCGGTTGCATATAGCGCCGTTCACATTCTTGCGACCGAGTAAGACCGAGAGAGACCAGACCGGATTTTAAGCCTCTTGCGACGTCTTAGGACCGGATGCGATGTAGCGGAGCTGGTCCTAAGAGATCGCAAGAGGCTTAAAAACCGGTCTGGTCTCTCTCGGTCGTACTCGGTTGCATATAGCGCCGTTCACATTCTTGCGACCGAGTAGGACCGAGAGAGACCAGACCGGTTTTTAAGCCTCTTGCGACGTCTTAGGACCGGATTCGATGTAGCGAAGCTGGTCCTAAGAGATCGCAAGAGGCTTAAAAACCGGTCCGGTCTCTATCGGTCGTACTCGGTTGCATATAGCGCCGTTCACATTCTTGCGACCGAGTAAGACCGAGAGAGACCAGACCGGATTTTAAGCCTCTTGCGACGTCTTAGGACCGGATGCGATGTAGCGGAGCTGGTCCTAAGAGATCGCAAGAGGCTTAAAAACCGGTCTGGTCTTTCTCGGTCGTACTCGGTTGCATATAGCGCCGTTCACATTCTTGCGACCGAGTAAGACCGAGAGAGACCAGACCGGATTTTAAGCCTCTTGCGACGTCTTAGGACCGGATGCGATGTAGCGAAGCTGGTCCTAAGAGATCGCAAGAGGCTTAAAAACCGGTCTGGTCTTTCTCGGTCGTACTCGGTTGCATATAGCGCCGTTCACATTCTTGCGACCGAGTAAGACCGAGAGAGACCAGACCGGATTTTAAGCCTCTTGCGACGTCTTAGGACCGGATGCGATGTAGCGGAGCTGGTCCTAAGAGATCGCAAGAGGCTTAAAAACCGGTCTGGTCTCTCTCGGTCGTACTCGGTTGCATATAGCGCCGTTCACATTCTTGCGACCGAGTAGGACCGAGAGAGACCAGACCGGTTTTTAAGCCTCTTGCGACGTCTTAGGACCGGATTCGATGTAGCGAAGCTGGTCCTAAGAGATCGCAAGAGGCTTAAAAACCGGTCCGGTCTCTATCGGTCGTACTCGGTTGCATATAGCGCCGTTCACATTCTTGCGACCGAGTAAGACCGAGAGAGACCAGACCGGATTTTAAGCCTTGTGCGGCGTCTTAGGACCGGATGCGATGTAGCGGAGCTGGTCCTAAGAGATCGCAAGAGGCTTAAAAACCGGTCTGGTCTCTCTAGGTCTTGCTCGGTCGCAAGAGTGTGAACGGGCCTTATGCGTGAACGGGCTTTTAAGCCTCCTGTGTCGGCTTACGACAAGCAGTGTTGCTGCGGAACCGGTCGTAAGCCGTCAGGAAAGGCTTAAAAACCGGTTTTTAGTCTCTCCGGTCCTAACAAGTGGTGAACGGGCCTCTAAAGGCTCATTCACTCAGTTGCGTTGGAGCGGGACGGCAACCCGTTCCGTCTTATTAGGGAGTTTGCGTAGATCGCGTTTTTCCCTCCGCTAAGCCCTGCGCAACGAAGAAGCCGCTACTGCGCCTGCGCGCCGATGGCCTTGACTGTAGAGTTTCGGGTATCGTAGCGGGTTGCGGAGAGCGTTGCGGGACGGCGAAAACGATCTACCAAAACTCCCTCTTAAGACTGCTTCCATCGAGGTGTTCCTATGGCGACTCTTACGACGAGCCAATAGGGAAGACTGGTGCTACACGACGCGACACAGCTGTGTGAACGAGTCTTACAGGGACACTGGCACTCCCCCCGCCCCCACACACACACACAAATATTTTATTTTTGCCAGGCGATCTATTATGGAGTTAGAAGACTATCCAATCAAGATTTTGCTCATATGTCATGTACAATGACGTGTGAGCTCATATGTCATGTACATGGCATATGAGAATATATCTCATATGTCATGTACAAAAAGAGACCATGGCGAGCATAAATACCCTGCCAGTGTCACTTTAAGTGCACGACCTCACACAGTTTAAAAGCGTTTTAAACCGCCCAAAGAGCGCCAACTAAATTTCGAAGCCCGAAAGGAAAGCGTCCGCGATCGGCTCTGCGCAGAAGAGGCGCGCGCGTAACCAATGAACTTTGAGAGGTTCGCGGAGAGCGGGAAGGATACGACGTTTCCCGTTTGGATACACAAGAAAAAAGCGAGGGAAGCACGGCTAGGGCCTTGACGGCACTCTCATGGGCGGGAGTTTCAAATTCGGGTTGTTTCTTTTCTTTACAAAGACGTAGTTTCCAAACCTAAATTTTATAGGGTGATGTCAAGGCATCGTCTCGGTTCAACAAAGGCCTTGCCTTTGCTGAACCGATATTTGGATTTCGCAAAAGAAGGCCGCAGAACCGTTAAACGGGACGCTAGAAACTCCAAACCATCACTCATACATCGTTATCTATAACGGATGGCCGTTTAGTTGGAAAGGAAGGGCGCGCACAAGCGAGGAATGTGACGTCATGATTCTCTTCGAACAGGTGAGAATGAGGGGAAGCGGCCTCGTTTCCCTCCTCCTCGCTTCGGTTCACCTACTCGGGGGGACGAAGCGAGGAGGAGAGGGAATGAGAATCGTGACGTCACATGTCCCGTTGGCCTCGTTGGCCGTGTTCAATCGCACACTTCTTTGCCAAGAATACGGCCATCTGTTAGAGATACCGCTGTATGAGTGATTTTTGGAGGTTTTTCAGTGTCCCGCCTATCACTCCAACCTTGTTTTCTGAGGTACAAACTTCGGTTCAGCATCCCTTTAAGCGTGTCCTGAAGCAGCATGCGGCTGCCAATCCGTACTGGCTTCTAACCATTCGTGAAACCAAATTCTCACGTGGCTCTGCGCACGCGTTTACACACAGGCACTTTGAAAAGTTGCAGACACAGCTCCGGGACCCACTCGGTACACCAATCTTCGGTCTTCCAAGTAACTTGCCAATAAGAAAGGCGAGAGGCATCGCACCTTCGATCGCCATGAATGAAAAAGGTGCCCGCGTATTTTGCCACTAACGTTGCTCGACCATTGAAGCATGGCACAGATCGCCATATTCATTCTTTGAACGGATCAAAGGAATGCTGCAGTGACTCGGGTTGCGAGTGCGCCATGAGAGGAGCTTTTGAAAGTGTGCGTCCGTATTCCCACAGCGACGGCGCCTGTAGGCGTAGTGGGCTCAAAATCTGCCAAGTGACAGCTACGTTGCAATGAAGTTCGAATGCTTTCGAGCATGTGCTATCGAGTACGAACGAAACGCGAACGGTGGAGCGCGTGGTTTGCAATAGATGCTGCGCCCTAGAGGGCTGTCGGGACGGGAGAGGAAGAGTGGTTGTTTGGGCGAGTTGGTTTGACATCTTATACAATCTTGTGCGCAACAAAGACGAGGACAAAAGCAGAGAAGAGGAGACAACAAGGCGCAACTTTCAACTGAATTTTATTGAAAACGTGTTCCGGTATATATATAGTCTCAACCATCGTTACAATGACAAAAAAAAAAAACAAAAAAAAACACCATGACAGAGCATAACTGGGAAACAACACTATCTCGTTCTCAGGAAAAACAATTCCTTCTCCGATAATGCGATCGACGGCATAGCAACACACATGTCTCCTAAATAATCAATGTGCTCGGCTTCTATGATTTCGCGTGTTACCGCTGACTTGCATTTCCCAATTTTTACGCATTCATCCAACAGTCCCTCCTCCTCCTCCTTCTACTTCTACTTCTACTTTTGTCTTTTTTTGTTGTCATTGTAACGATGGTTGAGACTATATATATACCGGAACACGTTTTCAATAAAATTCAGTTGAAAGTTGCGCCTTGTTGTCTCCTCTTCTCTGCTTTTGTCCTCGTCTTTGTTGCGCACAAGATTGTATAAGACGGGAGAGCAGGGCCGTACCCAGAAAAAAATTTCGGGGGGGGGTTTCGAGGACAACGGCGGCCATTTTGTCTTATTTTCGCCTATGAATCATGTGCATCGGTGGTATATAATGGAGAGTTATAGCAATCCGAAGAACCGGTCCCGGTTTGGTACCCGGTAGCCGACCGGTGCCACTGCGCGTGCGCAGAGGTGGAGATTAAAATCGGCTGGCTGCCAGTGCACCGACCAGGGCCGTACCCAGAAAAGAATTTCGGGGGGGGGGGGGGGGGTTAGAACCCCCTATCTCCCCCCCCCTGGTTACGGCCCTGCGGGAGAGGAAGTTGCGAGTGTGCGCCGAGGATGGTCCTCGTGGCTCCCGTCTCCACTCCGCAGTTTCCCCAGTTCCTCGTAGCTTCTAAATAGCGCCGCCTGCGTCGAAGGCCACGTGCTCCGCTGTTGGCATTTCATTCGCACCCGATAGCACTACATATGGCCTCTTGCACTGTAAAAGCAGCTATTTCCTAACGTCACTTTTTGTAAGCACACTGGAGAGAAAAAGTGCTCGTAAGAGGCGAGAAGGAGGCGCACCGGTGTTGCCGGCAGGGTGACGGTGGTCGCGCCGCGCCGTCCGCCCCTTGACGTAGAGCAGCGCCGAGAGGACCGCCGACGTGGCCAGCGCCGTCAGGAGGAGGTGCAGGCTGTACCGGTACGGTATCGTCATGGGGAAGCGCCAGTAGAGGAGCACTCCGAACACCATGGCGGTGCCCACCAGGTTCACCCAGCCTGAACAACACACGCGCACCGGAATCGTCTTAGGGGACACGGACACAGTCGTTACACTACGCGACCGCGTCTCGGACCACCCGTCGAGATCGAGGGAGGTTCGGGATCTATTCAAAACCTCCTTGTTTTGGAGCTATTGCAAAGGCACATGTTGTCTTAGTAGTGCTAAGGAAACTTTTGTCGGCATCCAGGTGCCTGGCACACGCTACCGCCCATGATCGCGGTCCAGCGTAAACATGTGAACGGACCTATACGGTCTTTTTTCTTTAGAAATACTCAGCCCGCCCGTTCAAGGTATTGTTATTGCTCTGCGTTCCCTAGGTGCCATACCTTCTAGGTGTGTTTTCCACAGCGCAGCATGCCCAGAGCAAGCTCTGTCTATCATCTGCCAAAAGAGCAGTATACAGAATGCTTGCGGCGAACTTGGCAGCAAGCTTCGGCGCCAGCGAATACTAGCTAAGTATGACTTTCACGTGACGTTACTTCGCTTTGATGGTGCTTACTCCTCTAATACACAAGGTGTTTCTCTTTAAGCTTAACAAAGTTGTCAAAAACAAACAACGTGAAAGGTATATTAATACGGTTTGTGCAGGTGTGTTTTATGGCCAAAGGGGATATAATATAGAAGGCTAATCGTCACAATAAGTAAATTAATCTATAAAAATTTAACTAACTTTGGAATAAGTGAAAGTAGACAGATGGTTTAAATTAGAAATTAGCTGGGCGTCATCAAAAACCAATAAATAAAGACTTTGAGCACGTGGGAACTGCAGCAGTGCGTAAAGTTACCACTCGTGAAACAGGCACAAGGCTGGGGTGAGAAAAACGTTCAGCCTTTTTACTGCCCTGAAGAAGGAATACCAGCGGAGCTGTACTCGATACACTGTGCGCATCTTCTTTGCAGTCGTCTTTTTTTCGCGCTGTTTCCTATACGATGAATTCCCACCAACGCGCCCAACATATATCCATTCTTCTATTATAGCTGGAAAGGTGGCCGCCATCTCCGAGCGACGGCGGAAACCATACTGATTGTGTGCTTGCCGCCGTAGCTTATAGATGGCGGTAGCTGTCCAGGTAGGTTTGTGTCGACATACCTACACGGACACGATCCTGGGGAACCTAGCCCTTAACAGCTCCGCTGTCAAACACGGATGATGAAGCGCCGTTCACACACTTGCAACCGAGTAGGACCGAGAGAGACAAGACAGGTTTTAAGCCTCTTCCGACGGCATAGGACCGGGTGCGCTGCTGCGGAGCAGGCCCTACACCGTCGCAAGAAGCTTAAAAACTGGTCTTGTCTCTCTCGGTCCTACTCGGTTGCAAGTGCGTGAACGGCGCTTTAGGGCCGAAAAAATTGCGCGGGAGAGTTATCGAACCGCAATAAAATGCTTAGATGGGCCAGTTGGTACATCATGGGAAATAACCGCCAAAAGAACAGGGACAAAGAGTAGAATAACAACGACACAGGGCGCACTCTGAACTGAATTTATTAGGTGGTGGTGGTGGTGCGCCGTTTAGGTTTTACGTCACCTAGGTTAGCCTAGCCCCAATTAGCTGGCATGGGCAGGTGACGAGCTCTTAAACTGAATTTATTAGGAAAAACACAAACTTATATACCAACGGGAGCACAGCCGTAAGATACCACACGTCACGTTAGTCCCCGCCCAGACCACGTTTCAAATATTCAAACTCATCCGTAGACAGAGCCAGAGATGTATCGCTAATGCATTTTTCACCCCTACTCCTAATCTCAAGTGCCTCGTGAAGCTCGCATGACACTTTGTTTTTGTACTTCGCCAATATTTTCGTGCTGTCAAATGACGGGGCGCAAGTGCATCTGTTGCAATGTATACAGCCAAATGTCCTGACGGTGTGGTTCTTGTTGAAGCGGCATGCTCGCGGACCCGATCATTGATACATCTTCCAGTTTGCCCTACATAGCTTAAACCACACGTCATTGGGATTTCGTAAACGACGGCGGTTTGTGCAATCAGTGTATTTATTCCTATGCTTGGTATTGCACGGGCCTGTTATCGGTTGGGGGTCATTGATTCTCCCGCATAATCGCGACATTTTGTTAGGCACTGAAAATACGACCGGGACATCACAGCGCCCAGCCACCTTCTTAAGATTATGTGAGACAGCGTGCATATATGGTATCACCACAGGCCGTATGCTGCTCTTTTCGCGCGGTGGTTTCTGCGTCCCCTTCAACTTCTTTATCAAGCTCCCAGCCACTTCGACCAATCAGCTCGTCGGGAAACCCCCTTTTTGCAGACGATCTACTTGTCTAACAAAACTATCCTGGGCGCTATGCAGGCAAGACTTTCTGAGAGAAGCCTCCATGCACGAGATCGCGATGCCTCTCTTCACGAGCTTGGAGTGGCAGAAATCAAAGGGAAGTATCCCCTTCTTAGATCTAGGGGAGTACTCCCAGCAAATATGCTCACCTAGAAAACTGAGCTTGAGGTCAAGAAATTGCATAATTCCGTCTTTGGGTGTCTCGTGAGTAAATGACAATCCGTGGCAGCAAGAATTGAATACCCAGGATAGTTTTGTTAGAGAAGTAGATCGTCTGCGAAAAGGGGGTTTCCCAACGAGCTCATTGGTCGAAGTGGCTTGGAGCTTGATAAAGAAGTTCAAGGTTGAACACTTCCGCAACGCGTATTTTGCACCACCAGGGTTAATTATCCGTTTCAAAAGATGAGTGGGATGGAGTTCGTTCTGAGCATGCGCTGTGAACAGCGTACTCAGATATAATGTTTACTGGTGCTTCCTCCGAAGTGTATCAGTTGGATAGCATAAAAATTACGCGGACGATCATGGGGCGTGATGCGAATGGAGAGCGTCAGCTGGTGCGAAATTTCGATGATAGTGCGTGGTGCTCCCGCGTATGCTTCGGCCTCCCCATGTTTGTGCGTGGGGCGTGGAAAGACGGACGTGGAAAGATTTGGGATCAGGCAGCACGAACACTGCGTAGGCACGTAGCACATACCTTAAAGGCAGTCAGGTAACTGCCCAGGTACGACGACTGAAGAGCCTTGCAGCAAGCTGCCGGCAAAGACACCAGGGCCGGCTTGCTGAAAGCATAGTCTTAGTTGAGACTGCTCAAAGAAAGCGCTGCCAAGGCTAGCGCTCGAGCTTAAACAGAGTCTCAGACGCTCGCGCGCCCGAGCGTTGGCAGCGGTTGCTTTGAGCAGTCTCAACTGAGTCACTACTTCTAACAAGCCGGCCCACAGGTCTGGCGTCACCGACAACCGATCACCCATAGAACAATTAACACTATACACGTTCTCGCGGACGCGCTGCACAAATTGCTTGGTCGCACCAGCGCGTCCATTCTTCGCTTGGTAACGTTCTCTTCTACGTGCCGCTTCACGTTCACGCACAGCATAATCAGGACGTCAAATGCATTGCATCCCAACACGGAGGGTGAGACCGAGTGCCGAGTGGCCGGGCGACCGAAGGCGAGAAAGAGCAGGTGGCGCCCTTCCCCGTTGCCAAAGTCAACTGCGATAAGCGCGCGCATGCTCCGTTCGTTTTCTGCGACACGGCACTCGCCCAATAAAAGCTCAGTACAGCTAATATAGCTGACGCTGTCAAAAGGTGCCTGCCGTTGAGGCGGTGCTTGTAGGTCACGTGGCCCACGAACAGCTTGGACGGGAAGCCGTGCACGACGCGCCCCAGTGGAACCGCCTGCAGCGTCGCCTGGCCCAGGAGGAACAGAGCGTAGGCGACGAACAGCTTCCAGCGCAGCAGGGGGCCCTGGCCTTTCGGCAACGCGGGCGCTTGCAGGATCGTGCAGCGTTGCTGCGGGCAATACAGGGCATCCGCGTGAGTCACAACCGTACGGTTGATGGCAAATATATTTATTTCAGAAGGAGATTGGGGGAGGAAAGAATGTGTTTATCCCAATCCCAGGATTTTACTGGCCTCCAGCGCTGGGGTGGCCCTCTCTGCCAGCAGATGCTGGCAGTCAGGGATCGCGGCCGAACGGGCTTCGAGTAGAAAAAGTGTGCCTAGATTGCAGAGTGTTTCCAACTGCTCGATTGCGGTCACGTGATTTATGGGTCGCGTTTGCAATGCAAGCTGGGAAGAGGACGCGAAAGCGTTGGTCGTGCGCAAGCGTCCTCGCACCCGTTTTTCTCCTCGATCGCCGCGCGATAACGCAATGCATTCGCACTGTCAGCCAATCTGCGAGGAGGCGTCCGCTATTAAATTACAAACGCTCACCATGGTTTGAGTCAATTTTAGAGCCCAGCTCTTAGGCGCCCGTTTCCGGCTTGAGCGGCGTCGGCGTCGCCGTCGGCGTAACCGCGCGTTGTATTATGAAAAACGTCCCATGATGCAACGCGCGGGTCTCACTCGTGACCCGCACGTTGCATCGTGGAACGTTTTCTACAATGACGTCACACGTGACGTCACGCGTGACGTCCCGGTGACTCGTGAATGTCGCGACGAAGGTCACGACCTTCACTTCACGAGGCCTTCACGAGTGACGTCACGAGGGTGGAGGCAGGGAGGGAGAGGAGGATGGAGAAGAGGGGAGTGAGGAGGAGAGGAGGGAAGGGGGAGAAGACGAGGAGGAGGGGAGGGGGAGAGGGTAAGGAGGAAGAAGAGGGTCATACCCTCCTCTCCGTCCCCTCCCCTCCCCCTTCTCAAGAGCTGGGTCTAATTCGGCATTACAGAGAGTTGTAAACGCTCTTTCATGTTCTTATAGTCTTTAATTTGATTGGAAATGGGAAGATCACATCAATAATTTCAAAAACCCTTTCTCAACCGCTTGCCAAAATATTTAATAAACGTGAAAATTTTTCCGTGGAGTTCGTAAGTTTTCAAATTACGCCGGGAGCGTAAGTTACGTAGAGCGGCTTTCTCTTGGCAACGCTGAAAAATCTCTACTTTTCTCTATCCGTGAGCATTAGCCGCGCGAGGGCGAAAAGGAGGCCTGAACGTGCAGTTAGAACGCAGGCGAGCTGGTACAAATGTAAGGCACGCTGGACCACAGCACACGAAGAGGGCACATCGTGTATGTCTTATTTCGTGCCTTGGTCTCTTAATGCTCTACACGTTAGAGGAGACAATTTTCCGAAGCAGGCAGACAATCGAGCCCGCCGTCAGTTCGCTCTGAAAAGGCGCTAGTCCTTCGGAGGCTTCACCTAGAGAGATACCACCTAGAATATAAGGCCCACTCATTACGTCATTGTCAGTGAATCCCCGCCCAAAGCTGGAAACACGCACGCCTGAGTTTCACCAGAGCTCAATGCAAAGCGACAGACGCGTGCGTCTTGGCGTCGCCGCGTGCTATGCGGAGCGCGAGTTCGTCTGCTTCTTCTGCAGGGGTTGTGGTGACGTCAGAACGCCGAGCTCTGATTGGCTGTTATTGAAGGATAGCGGGTAGGCCTCAAGGCGGCTTACTTCGAGGTCTATTTACTATCCTTAAATCAGAGCCAATCAGAGCTCGGCGCTCTGACGTCACCACAACCCCTGCAGAAGAAGCAGACGAACTCGCGCTCCGCATGGCTTCGCGCTCCTTGCGAGACGCTACGAGACTTGCTAGCGACGATGCTGCCGCAAGCTCGGGGATGCTGCGTATATCCACAAGTAATGGCGTTTTTTTTTTGCGTTTTTTTTTTTGGGGGGGGGGGGGGGGCGGGGGGAACAACGCAGATTTTGCATTTTAAATGGTATTGCCTAAAGTCACTGCATATGTTAGTTTAGCTAAAGGTGCCATACACAGTGGCCCATCCTCACCTGGTTGCAGAGCAGGTAGAGGAGCACGGTGAGCAGAGGCGTTAGTAGCATCCAGAAGAGGGCGCGCAGGCTGGTCCGCCAGCAGCCCGCGGCCCCGGCCTGCTGGAGTGGGGCGAAGTGCACCCTGGGAACCGCGTAGTCCGAGCTCTCACCGGTCTCCCGATGTTGCTGACCACTGAGCGTCAGACCGGAGCTCAAGCCTCCCGCCAGCTACGGGCACGTCGAGCGTCCGGATAAAGAACAACGGGATGAGAATCCTAGTCGATAAGTATCCTTACATAAATGTCATATATGGCCAAACCAAGATCTGACCAAATAAGGCCAGATGTATATAATATTGCTGTATACGACCTTACTCGCTCAATTCTTGATACGACCATATATGTCATTACTGTATCGGTAAGATCTGTGAAACGTAAGTTGAAGACGTCGAATTCGAAAAAGGTGCGAGAGTCTAGAGAATCGGCACCTTATAACTCGTGCGCGTCGAGTTATTTTTGTTTGTTTTATTTGTAGCAGTGACGGAATCGCTGAATAAAATTGCGCCATCGCTTCACCGCTTGCCGAGCGCGAAAGGGAAGGAGCAGAGAGAAGAAAGAAAGTGGCGTCTTCACTGGCTAAGGAGGAACCTATCGCACACGCAAGCGCCTCATCCGCTCGTCTTGGAGCATCCGCAACGCTGATGTCACAGAAAAACTATTGGACTCCTACGATTTGGGTTTGAACTTTCTTCCGGTATTTCACATGCCGAAAAGTACATTATTATGTGCTCCAGATGCATCGAGCTTAGATGAGGTCAGGATGGACCAGGTCAGAAGTGGACATAGTCTTTCGAGCAGGTGTCAGGTGTAGAAACGCGTCGGTTAACCCCGTTCAATCTTGTGCCTCCGAAATCCTCGGGTATAAACTGCGACGACGCACTCGCAGGGTTCGTCGCCGCAGTTTATACCGTAGGGCTGTAACCTTAAACACAGTCGACATATGGCTTCGATCTCAAGCGTTCTCCAAAGAATGCAAACGTGAAATACAGTTAGTAAAGCAAATATTTTTCCGCGATGATCTTAGGAAAGTACTAACCAAAAACCTCAAAAGGTTTTGGTCTATTATCAATCCTACTGCTCGCGGTGCCAACTTCCCTAACTCCGGACCCTTGTGATCACTTATTACCATCCACAGTGACTGCCTCTACTTTTAACACATATTTCGGTGACATCTTTACACGTGAAACATTGCCAGTGCTTCGCTTACCTAGTTTTGAACGCCCAACAGACATGCGGGATGCTCACCTCTCTATAGGGGTATTTTGAACGTTATTTATCGCCTTCCTCTCAAATCATCTCCTGGCTGTGAAGGAATCACAGCCAGAAAATGAAATCACAGCCAGGAGCCAGAAATTGACGAAACTACATCGGCTAAAATTTTGCTCCTTATTCTTGAACAATACCTGGCCCTTTCTCAACTGTCATCTGACTGGCTAAATCCGAACGTAGTACCTATCTTCAAATCAGGTAATCCGAAAGAGCTAACCAATTACAGGCCTATCTCACTGACTAGTGTATCATGCAAACTTTAAGAGCACATGGTTTTCAGCAACATGATGTCACATTTGGATAGTAACAGCTTGTTTTTCCCTAATCAACATAGATTCCGTAAAAACCTATCTTGTGTTACTCAACTATTCGAACTCGCCTACGATCTTCACAGAACCATGCACTCTTTGAAACAAACTCATGCAATATTCATAGACTTTAAAAAAAAATCTTTATCATTTTTCTTATACCAGATTAATACCCAAACTTTCCCATTTAAACGTGAAAAAATAATATTGTTTCCTCGATTATGGCTCTCTTGTCTAATCGCACCCAATCTGTAACCGTCGATAATACCATTTCCTCTTCATTGAACGTCATCTCTAGCGCCCCTCAGATATCAGTTCTTGGCCTTCTTCTTTTTTTAGCGTATGTAAACGACATTCCTTCTTCTTTATCTTCCTCCATCAGACTCTACGCTGACGACCTTGTCCTCTATCGCAAAGTTACTTCCATAGAGGATTGTAGAATCTTACAAGAGGATCTAGGAAAACTAACAGCTTGGTGTGACTCTTGGCTCATGACGATTAACCAGGATAAATCTAAAATAATTTAATTTTTCATAAAAAAAAGTACAGTCTGTTTTTTATATACTATTTCATCTCGCGAGCTCCAACGGTTGGCCACATTTAAATACTTAGGAGTGTACCCCTCCGAATATATCTAATGGGAGTGTCACGTTGACTACATCACCAAAGATAACAAAACATTGGATTTTTAAGAAAGGATCTGTACCTCGCCAACTGATATGTCAAGCGTTTAGCCTTTACCACGTTAGTACGGACTAAGTTAGAATATGCATCGATCATATGGAACCCATATCAAATATACCACATTAACCAACTCGAGGCTTTCCAGAACCGTGCGGCCCATTTTATTACTCGCAGTTATTCCCGGAATAAAATTTCTTCCTTAAGAGAGTCCATATCTCTCCAAACTCTCGACACTCACAAAAAGATTGGCCGGCTCTCTTTAATGCACAAACTGTACTATAACCCATGGTCACCTACAATATTTATTTCCCCGGCCCATCATATTTCCTCTCTCTTCGATCATCTTTGTAAAGTTGAAGCCATTTTTTTCAGAACTGATGCCTACAAATACTCACCTTTACCACTATGCATTTCTGATTGGAACACTCTGCCCTCTAGCTTCCTGATTACAAGTAACTACAACTATTTCACGCAGCGGGTTGCTGAGTTGATTGAATGATGTCTGTATAGAGATTTTTTTTCTTTATCCATGATTCGGTGTTTTCCTTCAATTTTATTATTAAGCGTGTGACTTTGATGTATCCCCCTTATGTAATGCCTCTTCTAGAGGCCTTTAAGGTAATAAAATGAAAATAAATGAGATGAAAAGGAGGTCTCAAATGCTCACGCCAGAAGTGTCCGTGGCTGCAACGTCATCATGGTTCCGAGGGAAGCTCGACGTAGGTTCCCCGGTGGCCCGGTAGGAAAGCACGTGGGTCTGGTCAATGGTGGCCCTGATCCGAGGCTCGCCCCGAGTTCCGGGGGACCCCGCTAGAGTCTCTGGCCCTCCCGTCGCGTTCACCGACAGCAGCTGGCGGCGACGACGTGGCGGGGAGGTCGTAGGCACCGCCTGGTGCGGCGGGCTTGCGGCGAGTGCGGGAGTGCGGGGCGCACTGGCTTGGGAAGGGCCGCTTCCCTCCGGCCCTTGAGAAGAAGAACCTCGATCAGACGCAATTTGGACGCTAGACTTCTTTCACCTTAAGTTTAGACACAGCCGACGCTCCGACCTGATGGAACCAATCAGATAGCATCTGAAGCGCGCCATCATGGTGTTCGTCGTGTTTCTGTCGGTGTTCTATCATCGGTGAACCATTTATAAGCAGAAAAAGGCGTAGTGACTTGCGCTTTTGACGCTGCTTGATTGGTCCCATTACTAGCATATATCGGCTGCGTCTGAAGTTGAGCCGAAACGAAGTATCGGCACTCGCAAACTCTTGCATACATTGTACCGTCTCACGATGTGCTCTGAACACCTATCACCAGTAAACTTTTCCGTAGTCTAGGAAGGTCGAGCTATATGGCGCCTCCCAGGATCCCTGGGTTCTGCACCGCGAGCTTTCGCTCCACGTGTTCCGAGCTGGTGTGCGCTAGCCCACTCGGTCACCGATCCCCTCTTTGAAAATAGAGTGCGAACGCAAAGAGTCTTTACGTTCTTCAAAAGGATTCGTGATTCATGAGAAGCTGGCTAAAGCCAAGACGAGCGTAGCTAGAAAATGGCAGCTCTCGGGACCGCGGCCACCGCGGCTGCGGCCGATTTGGCGTTCGCCATGAGCGCGACGTCGGCGCCATCGCCGCGACTGCGATTTTCAATAAAGAACGACATTGAACTACTACGTGGGGTGCGCGTCACAAACGGTTTCGAAGATCCAGCAAGGTTGCGACGTGCTAACGTTTCTCGCCTAAAGTGTCAAACGAGACAACTCTTGCCGAGGCGAGTCGCGACGCAAGTGGACACTTCCGATGGACCGCTCGCGTTGCATTCTCATATTTAAATTTAAAAAAAGTCTATAGTGTTATTATGGACCTAAAAACGTTTTTTTGTTTCTCAAGTTAGAGCACTGATTAGCTGCTTGATTAGCTCCAAGAAATCGCAGCATCGACCGCGGTCGGACTTATTGCGAAACGGAGTACAGACCAACCCAACTCACTGACGTCACCCCTACTGAAAAATCTCATTTGTATGAGAAAGTTTTGTGTCCAATAAACACATATGAATCATAGAAGACATACAAGAACATATAAGAATCATATAAGAACTATGAAATAACTATATAAGGTATATAAGACAATATAAAAACCATATTTTGATTTGGCAGCAGCGACGGCCAATAGTTCACGGCACTAAACGCTGAACCACGTATTTGCAGATATCTTGTGCTGCTGCCTCGTCTGTATCATCGGGCAAGGTGCAGGACCGTCGCATCATCTCGGAAACTCTGCCTATCCGTCTGCCTGCCACTTGCCGCTACGCACCAATCGCCTCGCGCATCTACTGGTCTGCGCCGATTACATCATCGAAGCGGTAGCGTAAAAGGGGACCACCATCGACACCACTGTCATTTGGCAGCAGCGACGGCCAACAGTTCACGGCACTAAACGCTGAACCACGTATTTGCAGATATATTGTGCTGCTGCCTCGTCTGTATCATCGGGCAAGGTGCAGGACCGTCGCATCATCTCGGAAACTCTGCCTATCCGTCTGCCTGCCACTTGCCGCTACGCACCAATCGCCTCGCGCATCTACTGGTCTGCGCCGATTACATCATCGAAGCGGTAGCGTAAAAGGGGACCACCATCGACACCACTGTCATTTGGCAGCAGCGACGGCCAACAGTTCACGGCGCTAAACGCTGAACCACGTATTTGCAGATATATTGTGCTGCTGCCTCGTCTGTATCATCGGGCAAGGTGCAGGACCGTCGCATCATCTCGGAAACTCTGCCTATCCGTCTGCCTGCCACTTGCCGCTACGCACCAATCGCCTCGCGCATCTAGTGGTCTGC